ATGTGTGTGTGTGTGTGTGTGTGTGTGTATATATATATATATATTTTTTTTTACGTAGCATATAAAGTGTGTGTGTGTGTGTGTGTGTGTATATATATATATATTTTTTTTTTTACGTAGCATATAAAGTCCAACTTGTTTTATTGTTGTGGACTTTCCATATCAATAAATAACAACAATGTGACAACACTGCATCGTGTGTGTGTGTGTGTGTATATATATATATATTTTTTTTTTTACGTAGCATATAAAGTCCAACTTGTTTTATTGTTGTGGACTTTCCATATCAATAAATAACAACAATGTAGGTCTTTAAAATATTAACTTTTTTTCAGAGAGACTTGTTTCCTGGTTCACGTATGTAAGGGTGACAACACTGCATAGACTTTGTACAGTAAGATTGGGGGATTACCATACAGACTGTGTACATTGCACTTACACTAACTTATGAGGCATTACAAAACAAACACATTTACTTTTAACATTAGCAGTGGAGTAAATCCTTTGACAACGAAAGACACATTCTCACACGCACCCTCTGACTATTCATATTCACACCAAACAGTCAGTGAATTAAAAAAAAGACAAATTCCAGAACAGCACATATTCACACAGTCTTATACACTCACAAACACACACACGCAACAGTCACAGACGACTGCAAAAATCAAACACCACCAGAGCAGAGAGCGCGAGAATTTTGCAGTTTTGCAATGATGAGCACATAATCAGTGCAATGATGAATCTACAGCGTCATGTAAAAATGAACAATAACTATCCATTTTTTTAATGCTTAATTGAACGTGTTGGGGTAAAACGGCCGTGTATCGCAAAATAATAATAAAAGTTTTTTTTTTTTTATTGAGTTGTATTCGCAGGCTGCACGCAATCCCACATCACATTTTGCATACTATCTTCCCTAAATAGTATAAATTTCCATTTCATGAAGAAAAACACAACAGTCAGTTCTTTTTGCTTCATCAAAAACACCCACAGCTAATGTAGTCAGATTTGTGAGTATGAACTCTTATGAACTGGTTATCTTAGTGCATCCAAAACACATTGCACAACCACGAGTGACTCTTATGAGCCGGATCTTTTTGGTTAATCAAAAACATTGCACAATCAGGGTCCGATTCACAAACAACAACAACAAAAAAATTCTGTCATTACTCACCCATGTTGTTCCAAACCCTTAAGACCTTTGTTCATCTTCGGAACACAAATGAAGATATTTTTGATGAAATCTGATAGCTGACCCTGCATAGACAGCAAGGGAACTACCACATTCAAGGCCCAGAAAGCTAGTAAGGACATCGTTAAAATAGTCCATTTGACATCAGTGGTTCAACCGTAATTTTATGAAGCTACGAGAATACTTTTTGTGCGCAAAGAAAACGAAAATAAAAAGAAAGGATGAACAAAGGTCTTATGGGTTTGGAACGACATGAGGGTGAGTAATTAATGACAGAATTTTCATTTTTTTGGGTGAACTATCCCTTTAAATGAACACTCTGAGAGGGGTTACTGAATCTGATTAACTGAACAAACTGCATATTATTACTTTCATTAATGTTAATGTGTTATGAGGAGCTTTCAAAACTTTTCATCTCTAAATGATTTTAGTGTCTTCCTATGAGCAGAACACTAAAAGTTGTGTCCTTTTTATCACAAAATGAACAACAATTCATACCTAATTAAAAATCAAGTTTAATCTTCTTTGACAAAAGAAAGTAGATGTGTTTGATAATGGCTTTAAGCAAATGTGCAAATACAGAATTCTTTTGACCAGCCACTTAAAACAGCTTTCTGTGGAAAAACAGGTGAGGCACTATGCATCATACAATCATTAACCGTGGCACATAAAATGCAACAGATGCTGATATACTGTAAGTATGCAGCAATTGCCTATCTCATGCCAAGGACTTCACACAGCGTTTGGTTTAATGTGTTAGCGGGTGATGAAGAAACTAGTATATGGAGGTCTGTACACCAAGGATGTTGGAGACCAAACTACTAAAATACCTTGCTGTGTTGTTTTGCTGGTAGATTCCATAAATACAACATGTGGGCAAAAGCCTCAATTCACAGCCATTCAAAAGCAGACACATATTCTGATGAAATAACATTTTTTGAAACATAAATCACAGAGATGTTGTCAGTGGCACAGCTTAGATCTCTTAGAAGAGGTGAAATTGGCTTGTGGTTTTCTCTGTTTGCTGTCTAATAGAGTAATGTACGGCTCAGGTAACGGGTTCAAAAACTGAACACCCAAGAAGCAAAGACAGTCACTTCCAAGGTTGTGTACTTTTAGGCCTTTGTGTGCTAGAAGAGCAACCACCATTGAGTTAAACAGAAATGCTAACAGATAGCTTTGTCCTCTTGGACTTTATACTGACACCTATTGATGTGGAGATGTACCATCACACAAAAGCAAAGGTCTTTGATTGTAGCAATACCTAATACACTGACATATTTGTCATCCATTATTATTATATTTGTCATCTTTCTAATGCATTCAGGAGGAGCATCACAGTGTCATCTTTGATCCTGACATCTACAGAGCTTAAACTCAACAACAGAGCCACAACTAAGGAAACTGGGTCATTTTGTCATTCAAATTCTTCACAATGGTCGATTTGGTCTCAGTAATGCAAACATCTATAAAGATGCTCATGTGCTCATAAAAACACGCACAAGTAATTCTCAGAACAATTAAAAACAAACAGTGAACTATTAAACCAGTTTCTGGAGTTTCGACTGCTTTGCAATTTACCGCAGGGCAAAATCATGCGCTTTCATTCTCTCTCTCAGAAAATTTATACGACTAGTATTGGTTTGACAAGTCATAATTGTGTACAAGCCATTTAAATACACTAAATGTTTTTTTTTGCTATGACTAGGACCAGGACTTGTTTGACAGGCAGATCTATCACTGCTGTCACTCATCAGAGGCATTAAAATCAAAAGAATCCCTTTAACAAATGTCAAAGTATGCATCAACTTCTTAAAGAAACAGTACTTAAGTTTTGATACTTGTACAAAACTGCTTTGATGTTTGATGTTGGTTTCATCTTCACTCTTAAAAATAAAGGTGGTTTTCTGATGCCATAGATTAGAAGAACCATCTTTGGTTCCCCAAAGAACCTTTCTGTGAATGGTTCTTAAAGGGATAGATCACCTTCAAGCATTTTTTTAGAGTGTTCTTCATGCAACCTTTATAGATGCCAATAAAGAGTGTTGCACAGTACAGGTCACACAAGTAAATGAAGAGGGTTAATTCAGTTGAGCTACTATACAAACCATAGTAAACTGTTTTACACCATACAGGGAACAATAGTTCACTTTGTTTAGACCCACTACATTTGCTAGGCAACGGTAATACAGCAAACATATCAATTTCAGTATCATACTTTGTGTGTTATTAGTCAAACAATGTACAAAACTGCTTTGATGTTTGATGTTGGTTTCATCTTCACTCTTAAAAATAAAGGTGGTTTTCTGATGCCATAGATTAGAAGAACCATCTTTGGTTCCCCAAAGAACCTTTCTGTGAATGGTTCTTAAAGGGATAGATCACCTTCAGTTGCTGGTCCCCATTGACTTCCATAGTATAAAGGGAAAAAACACACACACTGCAAGTCAGTGGGGACCAGCAACTGAAGATGAACTGTCCATTTAAAATAACTTAGTGTGAAGAACATTTTAATAATCAAAAGAACCTTTTTCCACTCCACCTTTTGTGGAATGGAAAGGTCAGTGGATGCTAAAGGTTCACTCTAAAAAATGCTGGGTTAAATATAACCCAGCGCTGGGTTAAAAAGGGACAAACCCAGCTATTGGGTTGTTTTGACCCAGTTGTTTTTTTTGCTTTTGTCATTTTTATTCATTTTTTAACATTATATGTGAGGTTTTCTAGATTTAAAATTATATATATAATTATATTATATTATATATATATAATAGAATTCTCACTTTCTTGTTGTTCTGAAGACGACGGCAACTTTTTCTTTCTCATTGAACGGTAAAACCGTGAATTCCTGCGTATAGGAGCTCTGCCGGGTAACGTCTCATCGTCATCATCGTCATCCTCGCTGGGCAGATGGGCCACTGGCGCCTGAGGTTTGGTCTGGACCACTTGAGGTTTATGTCCCCACATTCGGAACAGGGCTGTCATCGCCATCAGCTATCAGTAACGAGATCCAGCCGTTCATGGAATAATCCCCATCTGACAAGCACAGCAGGAATTCCCATCCAGACTGAATCCGAAAGTTCGGGCTCCCAAACACACAATCCCACCACAGTCACAGAGAAGTTACGCACCCTTTCTAGATAATCAACTCTCTCATTCTTCTTTCGCCTCTTTCTTTTTCCTCTGTCTGAGGGGCAGGCGTGTTGTTAGCGACAAGTTCAGAAGTCTAAAGTCTGTCTTTCTCTCTCTGAATCCTCTACTGTCTAGCAAACCTGTCCTCTGGCCCTTAGTGTCAAAGTTCTCCCCCTCCCTCTCATTCATTCTCGCCGGCCCAGCCTCCCCGTCTCTCCCGCCCTCTTTTCCTTCTCTGTTTCACTTGCCTTACCCTGTTCTCCCCTGAGCGCATAACTTCTAGCCCCACGTGTGTATCAAACAGGTAGAGTCAGTCATCTAAAACAGCAGATCTTGTATTTTTAGTTGTCACTTTCTTAATATGACGTTCACACCTCACCCATGTCTCATCAAACATGACTTCTCCCACACTTTGAAAGCAGCTCTGTACAAAGGCTGAACTGTCAAAAAAGCTTTCTGAGATTCTCAGCATGTTTTACATGAAAATACTATGTCTATATGTTTTACAAGAAAATGCTATTTCAATATTTTCTACTTCAAAAAATCTGGTAGAGTTCAATGTGTTACTTGCTGTTTGTGAAATTTGGTGAAAACATCCACCATTTTTTTTTTCATTGTGTGTGCATCAGTCTTGTTCCATGTTTTTTATGTACTGTATCAAACCTTTTTGTCTTCATTTTCAGTAAAAAACAAAAAACATAACAAATAATAAACATTCTTAAAACAATACAAGCACAAGTTTGTAGGTTTAGACTTTTTAAAGAATATTTAATTTGTTAAAATTAATATATTTTAGTTTTCATTATTATGCATAAATCTACACTCTAAAAAAATGCTGGGTTAAATACAACCCAGTGCTGGGTAAAATAGGGACAAACCCAGCAATTGGGTTGTTTTGACCCAGAGGTTGGGTTACTACCCAGAAGGTTGGGTTAAACATTTAACCCAACCGCTGGGTCAACCGCTGGGTCAAAACAACCCAATTGCTGGGTTTGTCCCTATTTTACCCAGCACTGGGTTGTATTTAACCCAGCATTTTTTAGAGTGTAATCAATCTTGCTTAAAACAAGAATAAAAACAATTTGTCAGAAAAGAAAAAGGAAAGGGTAAGAATTTTTTTTTTACACAATTTTAACAACTAAATTTATATTTAAGAACACTAAGGTGATTTCACAGGAAAAACAAACATATTGAAACAAAAATACTGAATAAAAAATTATATTTTGTGAACCCCAAAATATTTTAGTCTAAATTAACCTGTGTTGTTTTAGTATCATTTATATACTATTTTAGTATTAATGTTTTCAGTTTTCGTCTCCCCCCCACCCCAGTTTTTATTATTTCAGTTTTAGTCAGTTATCGGTTAATATTATTAATAATATTTAATTTTTAATTTTTTTAATATTTAATTTTTTTATATTATTTAGAATATTATTGTTAGTTAAAAATATAGTTAAAGGCAACATTTGTCATTTTCATTCTAGCTTTTTTCATCTAATATTTAAATTTTATTTTATGCTTTATTTCATTAATTAAAGCGATTTTTAATAGTTTTACTTTCAGTCAAAAATAACAACACATTCTTTGTAACATCCTGTTCTCTACAGTCAGCTGACTACTCAGGATTAAAAAGTTCTCTCTCTCCTGTTTGGCCAAAAACTCTCTGTCTAATCCCATTGTGCTCCTGCTGATTAACACGCACTGACAAGCACACAAAAGCATGAACATACACACAGATCAGAATGTGCATGTAACCACAAACATTTACAGAAATGTAATCCTAAAATTTCCAACGAAGCACAAACTTCAGGCACATGCACATGGAACAACATGCATCAAGCACAGACGTAAATGAGGCAAACCTGAGTCAGGCAATCTCTACAACAAAAAAGAGAGAAACGCCTCTTACCATTACCTAGTCAAGCCAAGGATCAGTATTACATTACAAGGAGAAAGAGCATGCATACCTGAGAGAGAAATAAGGATTATGGGATGTCTCTCTGCGTGTGTCTAATCTAACCATTCTTTGGGGCCAGAATTGCTGGATAACGTAAGTTAATAAATCAGATTTTTTTTTTAAAGTTTTCTTTTAGCAATAAGATTTGGATTTGTGTTTGCATTTTGCCTTATATTCTAGATCTGGTATATCCCCATGTGTACAGCTAGGTGAATGTGTGTGTGTCGGTGTATTCAGCGGTAGGGGGTGTATAAACAAACCCTTCTGTCAGTATTGAGTTTTTGGATGGAATGTGGATTCTTGGATTCCTGAGGTTATGTAATGACAGTGCAAAGAGCGCTGCGTCAATGTGACGGGCGCACCTCGCTCTTATAACTTCACCTGTGAAGAACAGGTGTGCCGCAATTCCATTGGCTACATGAAAAAGTGCCCAGCCTTGTCTAAATGATCATCAGCAGTGCGATCAAGGTCCATGTGATAACAGTTTTACCTCTATAATATTTATTATCTATGTGTGAACAAATATTGTTTGTGGCTGTTGCTCATGTCTAGCTTAAAAAAAAAAGTTGCTAATATTTTTGTTTTAAACATAAAATATGCAAATAAATAATCATTTTAATTATTGTTATCATAAATACTTTTGGTAAGCAAAGTGGCATCAGAGGGAACAATGGCATTTCAATTTAAGTATTCCTGAAAAACCAGCTGAAGAGCAGCTTAGCGAGGCTGGGAGAACAGCTAAAAACCAACATAGGCTGTTTTCTTTAGCATTTTGGTGGTTTAATGAGTCATTAACAGAGGAACTTGAGGTTTGTCGTCATCTAGTGTTGAGGTTTGGTTCTTTCCTTTGCAGGAGGGCCCTAGGCCACTATTGTACAGTACATGTGTTGCTGCCGTCTGTGAGAAAAATATGAATGTTACTGATAAAAAGGAAGTCAAAATGGTTATTTGGCTTTTAAAGCCAATGCCATTTCACACACTCTCTGTCTTTAACCCATCTAACAAAAAATATGTTCTCAGAAAGTTGTGCTAATGTTTCATTAAGCTATAAAACGTTATTTCTGGATGTTTTATGAACATTTAAAACGTCCAGTTTTTAAAAAATGTTTTAAAAAGTTTTTTTTTAAAATATATATATATACAAACGTTAAGGAAGCATGCAAACATTATGGGAATGTTATTTTGTATGTTCTCTGGACTTTTGAATTAAGTAGTAACATTTAGAAAATGTCCAACTAAACAGTACCATTTTGCGAACATCAGTAAAGACCAGTTAACTCTGAACAAATTAACATTACTGGAAGAATATTTGTTCAAACCCTTATGAAAATTAACCATGTTTTTTTTGGGCGTATTGATTACTATTTGTATAACCACAGTTTTATTACAGTTACCATGGTTTAACTATAGGGGGGGGGGGCGGTGTTATTTGTAGTAAGACACTGTGATCCTCTATATATGTGTTATGTTACTGTTCTTGTTATGCAATAAAAAACAAACACACATATATACATTTTACACTGATAGCGATTGTTGTTGCGGCCAATTTACATAGAGTTGTCATTGTTTATCCATGTTTTCTGTGCGCCACCATACCTGTATGACGGCTAAACAAGTCAGCACAATAAAACCCACACTAAAGAAGTTTATTTATCATATTTGTTGCTCAAAGGTTGATATTTTTAACTGTTATGAGTTTCATAATTTTTACTGTTTAATTTTTGCTAAAAAGCTTGTCTATTAAGAAGGCTCCTAAACCATATAGTGTGACAAGATGCCTCATAATCAGTCACAAAATGCGTCTGCAGTTTGTGTGTGTAAAGTGTAATTATTTGGCTTCTCGTTTGATTAAGCGCACCGCGCGCGCTGCAGAGGCGGACTCGTGAGCGCGTGATAGTTTCTCTTTTGACAGAAAACCCTCACCAGTTTCTGTCTGATTGCAGAGTTCAGCTCGTCTGCAGCGGAAACAGAACCCACTCGGTCAGCACAGACGGCACGCGATGCTTCAGCGACATTTTCACTACTCATCTCCTGTGAGGACCTACAACTTGCCTTAAAGTGTGGATAACGGCAGGCGACAGCGGAGAATAATCATTCACCGGCCGTGGGAATGAACTCCAGCACACCATGTGAGTAATCCGCGTGTCTGTTTTACCACAGTTTTCGCCAAAATGAAGCGATATCTACAGCTACGATCGTGATAAATTCAAAACCCAAGACTTTCGGACATAGGCCTTATGTTTTATTTATTAAAGTTAATATCTAGATGCATCGTTGTAAATATGTGGACTACAGATGTTTTCAGTTCAGTTTAATTCAGTTCAGAAAATATTAATTGAAATAGTGTCATAGATTGTCATAAGTACTGTTATTTTTACTTAATTCTTGATTTTCAAGTTGAATTTCTTCATAACTACACACATTCAAAGTGATACATTTATAAAACAAATTAGGCAGCAATTAAAATGTTACAATTTTAGTGTGGTTATTACCAGAGGTGGGACCAAGTCATTGTTTTGCAAGTCACAAGTAAGTCTCGAGTCTTTGCATTCAATTCTCGAGTCAAGTCCCGAGTCAAGACAGACAAGTCCCAAGTCCAGCTGCAAGTCCTCAACTTTTAGCTTCAAGTCTTAAACAAGTCATTAGTGCTCTTTGCCAAAATTAGTGTCTCAGTATTAATTACCATATCAAGATGCAGGCAAACTCATGAAGACAATCATTCAAAAATGCTGTGCTACCATACTTTTTTACTATGAGTAACAAAGACAAAATCATTTAATAGAAAAAAATGTTGTACGTTAAATGTTAAGTTTATAATATGCATAGTTGATCACTAAATTTAGGGGCTCTGTGCGCTATAGGCCTACAGACTGATTTACAACACGTGAATTCATTCACATACAACCTGACCATGTTTCTCAGTACTAAAGTAATTTTAATAATGATACACGGATGTGGTCAGTTCCAGTCAACTGTTATTTGCATGTATTTTCATAATACTGTTTGTTTTAGATGACACATAGGATAAAAGTCTCATCTCTACAAGGGTTGGTATTCAGAAATTAAAGACCTTTTCACAATAAGAATAGAAACTATAAAGTTCTGTTTATTATAAGCACAGGCTGCTTATGTCATCTGCCGCTTTAAATGCTCAAGCTTTTTAAAGTTGGGCGGATTCTGATTGGCT